GGGTTAATCTGTAAAGATTATAGGCTGCATTATCACAAACCGGGTTCGATTCACGCTGGGGGTGCGTATGAAACCAAAGCGAAGTAAAAATTTAGTCTAATCTGTATGAGAATACATTTCGGGAAAGCAATGCTAAATGAAATTCAATGCTATCGTAAGATCTACACATTTCATTGTGGGAAAATTGAACTACCATTCCCATTATCAACTTAAGCTAAACCGGGTGAATACACGACATAGTAATTGGAATACCCAAAAAAAGAATGTTCCTTTGTAATAAGGATTGCAAAATTTGTTGTTTCGTAAATGACGATTTATTTTGGGCGTAAAACTAGGAGTTATTCCTGTGACGGGTCCACAGTGAAACTAGTGAGGCTAATCATTTAACTGAAGGAATGAAAACCAAGATGGTGTGGCCTTTTGTGTGGTCGCAGGCTCCTTTCGCTGTATAGGAGTTGTTTGACCTTGTTTTCACAACATGGTCATATTGGTAGGAAGGCTTAGAGGAAGGCACCTTGGTACATTACCAGACGTTTCACCGGCATCCTAGTCGGCATCGCCAGTGAGTTTTGCCATTTTTAGCACCATACTACAACTCGTCAAATAGACAAGTGAAGCAAATTCTTTGACCAAATGTGTGCTAATTAGTTGTGGTATCTCTCTTTCTGCCCTGGGATATTCACATTTCCTATATCTTCGTATCACGCCTTCCATATCGCAATTTTTACTTGTATATTTAAATGTGGTATGGCGTGCCATTTTGAGCGGCTTTCATTAGAACTCTCCACACTCCATGCTGGCTTCCTCACCCCCTAATCCACCTCCATCCTTGTGCTGGGAATGTCGATCAGAGTCTGCCCTATTGTTATGCCGTCCTCCTACCATAGGTCTTATCAGAGTCTTCCTCTTGCCTTGTAGAATCCATCTGCTATCTCCATGGTTCAAGTATTTACCTCGATCCCTGCCACCCCACCTGTGCTACTCGAGGCGTTATTTCCCACAATGCGTTTGGGAGACGAACTCGAGGCTAAAGCGCTTGCGTAATTCTTATGGTCAAGGCCTACTGTCAGCCAACTAGCTCTAGTCTCAGCCGCGTCTATCCTGTTGCTATCCCAATACCATGTCTGTGTCCTCCTATGCCCTAGTCTCTTGTGTGCCAACCCACGAAATTATGACACTACATGCCTTGATTATGTTCAATATTGAACCACAATATATGTGGGTTGACAAACAATAGACTCGGGTAGTGATTTCCAAACTGTGTGCCGCGGCCTCTTTACAGGGGCGCCGCCAAATATTGTAAATGCTACAATTTGAGAAAATGTGCAATGATTTGCAGGCTCATCCATCACATTAATTATTAAATGTTTATTTAATGCTAATAAAGTAAAAAAATAATGAAGATATACGAGTTGTATTATTTATATCTCTTACTTACAAATAGTCATACTTAGGGTAGGGTGCCATGAAAAAACTTTAATTGAAAAAGGGCGCTGCGACTAGTAAAACTTTGGGAACCACTGGACTAGGGCATAGGACGTCATACAGTTGATATTAGGGATAGAAACAGGATAGAAGCGGTGGAGGCCAGAGCGATTTGGGCATGGACGTGATCCATGAAGCACATCTATTGTTAGCCAACTAGCTATAGCCCCCACCGAGTCTATCATTTTTCTAGCCTCAATACCAAATATATGACTTCCTATGACCTAGTCTCTTGTGCGCCAAACCACAAATGTTGTGGTTCAACTTTTTTGCGGCAAAGGCTCGATTATGAGATTTACCCGGGCTTTTTAACCTCAAGTTAGTCTCCCATCCAGCTTGAGAATCCTGATTTTTATGGGCTTATTCGGCGAGGCGGGAGTATGTGTGCTATCAAAGGCTCAAGGCAATGTGGGAAATAACACTTCGGCTAGTACATATAGGGTGGCAGGGGTCGAGTGATATACCTGAATTACTAAGGTAAGAGGCGGATCCTACGGTGCAAGAGGGAGACTCTGATGAGAGCTATTGGAAGAGGATTGCTGGGTGAGGTGGTGAGGAGTAGACTATAGGAGTAGAGCTGACGTTTCAATGAATTTCGCATAGCTTCGCTTCCCAAAAGGTATTCTCATCCAGGCTGAAGTGGACTGCAGTTTCGACCTCGCCTAGGTCACTTCTGCATCCTCCGCGTGACTCAAATCCTGGTAGTACAATAACACTACGTAATTTAGTTAAATGTTATAGCAAAT